ACACAAAGATAATGCAAGTAAATACAAAATGCAGTTTTTAAATGATGATTTCATTTATTAAGGGAAAAAAGCTGTACAAACCTACCTGGCCCTACGTGAAAAATTAATTGCCTCCTCCTGTTAAATCATGAAAGAACTGTGATTAACCACATTATTTTATAAAACTGAGTTAAACTTCACTATCCACAGCCAGGCCTGATTACTGCCAGACATGTTGAATCAAGAAATCACTTAAAAAGAACCTGTCTGAATCAGTGAAGTATGCTTAAAGAGCAACACATCATGCTGTGATCTAAAGAAATTCAAGAACAGATGGGTTTTAAAGCCTATAGTGTTCCTGTGGCTCAGTGGTAGAGCATTGCATAAAAGGTTGTGGGTTCGATTCCCAGGGAACACACATACTGGTAAAAAATGTATAGCCTGAATGCGCACTGTAAGTCGCTTTGGATAAAAGCATCTGCTAAATGCATAAATTAAATATTATTATTAAAATAAAGCCATTTCTAAGGCTTTGGGACTCCAGCGAACCACGGTCAGAGCCATTATCCACAAATGGAGGAAACTTGGATGAACCTTCCTTGGAGTGACCGGCCTACCAAAATTACTCCAACAGCGCAACGACGACTCATCCAGGAGGTCATAAAAGAACCCAGAACAACATCTAAAGAACTGCAGGCCTCACTTGCCTCAATTAAGGTCAGTGTTCATGATTCAACAATAAGAAAGAGACTGGGCAAAAACGGCATCAATGGGAGAGTTCCAAGGCAAAAGCCATTGCTGACCAAAAAGAACACAAAGGCTCGTCTCAAATTTGCCAAAAAATATCTTGATTATCTGTGGACTGATGAGACAAAAGTTGAACTTTTTGGGAGGTGTGTGTCCGGTTACATCTGGCGTAAAACCAACACAGCATTTCATAAAAAGAACATCATACCAACAGTCAAACATGGTGGTGGTAGTGTGCTGATGTGGGGCTGCTTTGCAGCTTCAGGACCTGGAAAACTTGCCATAATTGATGGAACCATGAATTCTGCACTCTATCAGAAAATCCTGAAGGAGAATGTCCGGCCATCAGTTTGTGACCTCAAGCTCAAGCGCACTTGGGTTATGCATCAGGACAATGATCCCAAACACACCAGCAAGTCCACCTCTGAATAGCTCAAGAAAAACTAAATTAATGTTTTGGAGTGGCCAAATCAAAGTCCGGACTTAAATCCGATTGAGATGCTGTGGCATGACCTTAAACAGTCCACTCATGCTCGAAAACCCTCCAATGTGGCTGAATTAAAACAATTCTGCAAAGAAGAGTGGGCCAAAATTCCTCCACAGCGATGTGAAAGAATCATTACCAGTTATCACAAACGCTTGATTGCAGTTGTTGCTGAAAAGGGTGGCACAACCAGTTATTAGATTTAGGGGCAATTACTTTTTCACGTAGGGCCAGGCAGGTTTGGGCAGCTGTTTTCCCTTAATAAATTAAATACTCTGGTTATCTTTGGGTAATATTAAAATTTGTTTGATGATCTGAATTTTTTAAGTGTGACAAATATGCAAATAGAAGAACAGGAAGGGGGCAAAAACCTTTTCACGGTACTGTGTATGTATAATATATATATATATATATATATATATATATAGCGAGAGAGATTTATAAAATCATAACATGCAAAATAAATACATAATTGCTAATTATTATTATTAATAATAATAATATAGTTTATTTATTTATTTAAATATTAAATATTTTATATTTTCACCTGCATGCCATTTGTCAATTTATTAAAATCAGAGAACCATAAATATGTCAATGTGATGTTCAATTATTAAAATATAAGCTTTTAAATCCCAGTTGCAAAATAAAACGTTGAATTACTGTACAAACACCTTTAGTAATAGTTAAGACATTCTCAAAAGGAAAGTACACCCAAAAAGTGAAATAGCATGCGTGATTGCTTATGATAATAATAGTGAGGCTTGCTTTAGCAAAGAAGCTATTGAAACGATGCAAATGCAAAGCAATACTGCTCTTTGTCAAAATAAGTTTTCACGTCTGCTGTTGTCAAAACATTTTGCTGTATAGGATGTGCGGTTGCCCCGTCTGGAGGCACCTCTTTTTCCCTTTCCAATCTGACAACAGCTCTTGTGTGCGCACCAGCCACTGTAATGTCACGGCTCTCACCGCGGAGACTGACAGCGACCGGTTGCCATTGCAAATCAAGAGATAGCACACAATACAAGCACTGTGTCATCACATTCCTGCCCCATAATATCTGTCAGGGCTTGCTTAACTGAATCTATTATCTGGCACAGCCAAGGAACGGTTGCAGACGGGGTTTGGTGTGGTAACATTTCCTTTGTATTCTCTCTCTCCCGCTCTCCATTCTGTGCAGGCAACAAACAAGTAATCCTCCTTTTAAGGACCTCTGAGCGTATCGCTGCAGCCTTGAAGGAAGCATGCAACAGCACACAGATGCTTGACAACAAGAGAAGGAGAGAAAGGCTGGTGCACAGGCTTAGGTATGCAAAAGCAAAGAAATTGTTTGTATATTTTCCAAATGTTCTTTTTCCCAAGAGCTAGAATCAAACTTGCACTATCATTTGTCTGCATACACCGCTTGTTTTCATAATTTGTTATTTAATGTCATAATTGTTATAATAATTATAATATTTGTTTTAATAATGTTGTAATATTTGTAATCTAAATCAATGGCATGGCATTTCTTTTTTTCTGTCTTAATTAAAAAACAAAACAAAAAGGCATTCATTTCCGTATTTTAACTTTGGCTTAATGCTTATCAATGTTTTACAGTCACATTTGTGTCTGTTAAATTGTATGGTTCAACCAACAGGCAGAAACAACAGCAACAAAAAAACAACATGCAGAAATATAAAAACACATAACAAAACAAAAGCACAAAACAATACCGCAGAGATATAAATAAATAAGAAACAAAACAACAACAACAAAAACACAACACCAACATGCATAACTATAAATAAAATAAATAAATAAAAATAAAACCAACTTGCAGAAATACAAACAAAACACGAAACCAACATGCAGAAATATGAAAACACAAAACAAAACTAGCATGCAGCAATATAAACAAAACACAAAATGAAATGAAACTAACAACTAAAAAAAAACACACAAAATAAACAACACAACAAAACAATAATAGTAATAGTAATAATAATAAAAACCCCACAAACACAACAAAACAAGACACAAAACAAATAAAACACATGCACAAAAAATACATAAAACAGAAAACAAAAATGTAAAACAAGCAATGATATCCTAGAGTACCCATGGAGACCCCAATAGCCATGTGTTAAAAACCAATTAGTCAGTTGAATTATAAAATACCATGTGATGCAACTTCCCAAAAACTTGATTTACAGAAATTATGTTTGAAATTGGGGGGGGGGGAGAAACCTTTCCAGTTTTATATTTTTACTTGGTGGTTATATATATAATTATACATATTATTATTACATTAAAACATTAAGTGTATTACATTTAAAAAGTGTATGAATACCTGGAGGCCATTTCACTTTTTAAAATGTTTATAGCATACCCCCTTGTTACTAGGGTTAAGCATATGAAGACTGTAAACCACATATTGCATAGATAAACAATAAAAACTTAAGTAGTAAAACATCAAGGCCAATATATCTGCAGTTATGCCTGACCATGAAGATCCTCCATTTTGTAAAGTCCAGATCAGTCTGAACAGCACATGAACTCCACATACTTTCTCACAGTCCGTATCTGCAAGGCAGGTGTCCTGACCTGTAAAGATCAAAGCTTTCCCCACTCAAATACAGGCCAGAATGTTTTATAGAGGAGGAGGACAGTCTTCAAAATCCTCAGGCTTTTCAATTAAGCAAGAATTTGTGGCACCAACATGTCTTAGAAAGGACAACATTTGACAACTGAAACTGAACATGTCGATACACAACGGCCTTAAAGAAATCAGACAGCAAACGCAGGTATTTCTTAAATAATTTAATTGCAAAAGGGCTGCTTTTAAAAAATATTTCTACAAGAATGCATTATTTAATCGCTGTTTTTTTGTCTTCACCATTAAATACATCTCAATGCTTTCCAAAACAAAAAGAACAAGAAAAAAATTTCTTGAAATGTATCTTGCTTCTCTCAATATAAGTACAGCACTCAGCAGACATTTTGCTTTTGCACGTCAGTGATTTGTAATGTGATGAGAAGACTGCTTGGAAAGAAAAAACATTTTTTTTTTTTGCTTGATTCTTACTATAAAAAGAGTAACTTCAAAACTCAGGAAAACTATCACAGAGAGGAGTGGAGGAAAGAGAAAGAGAGAGTCCGAGATGGAGAGCAACCATTGGCACGGCGTTATTGAACCAAAATCATGCAAGTTATGTTCCGAAACTGCTTTGATTAAAAAACAATGACAATAGCACCAAATACAGTCATACGTACAAACATACACACACTCAAATCCAGTTATGAGAGAATATATCATCAGACATGTTGAATGTGACAAAAGCAGCTACGTTTAGTTCCCGAACGACTCTGTAAGTTAGGAACTTTAAGGAACATGGTTCATATACATCAAGATCTGTCATTTAAGAAAAAGGTTAAATCGCTTTAGCGTGTTATATATTACATGGAGCTCTTGTAATTGTCAAATTAGGAATTAAACAAAACCACAAACAGTGGTACTGTGTAGTGAGTACTGTGCAGAATATATGCAGTACCGTTTCCCATAGTGCAGTATATAAGCACTGAAACTAGTCTAGATACAGAGTTTGGTTAAAAGAATATCCTGTACTGGCTTCTTAACCCATCAAATATGCTACTGTTTTGCATATTTTACGTCTTTCTTGTTTGGCGAGGGGAAAACCAATCAGAGCAGACCGGAACAGAACCCATTCAAGAACTGAAGGCAAATAATCATGGGTCGTCATCTGTTTCTGCCAGGCTGTAAACATTTGCCTGCAAGATCAGCCTAGTGTTAATCAGACTGGCAGGCCCTGATGACGGGCCCAAGCACATGGAGTCTGCGGTGCAGTGTTTCATTAAGCCTATGTGCAAGAAAAAGAGGTGAAGGATAAAAAATGTGGAAGACAACCCAACAGTTTCAGGACGTACAACATATCCTGCCTACCGCATAGCATTATCATGAATTACTATTGTGGTTCAAGATCTCATTTGGAAAACGCCCCCGGAAATCCTGTAATTCCAAAATATGATTGTGAGAAATGAACAAAAAGTGCTTGGTGAGTGAGCTTTACAATTGGTACTAACAGTTTCTCTTTGTGGTGGTGACGGAAAGGCTTAGCTATAATATTGAAAAGATTTACTAGGGATCTGCCCAACATTGATGAGATGTTCAACACTTCTATTCATTTCTCTTAAACCAATTTCAATACACTTCCTCTGCATTTTTTTTTTCATCTTGATGGCATTCCAAACATTTCTTTACCATCCTTTTTGAATGTCAGCATTCGAATTTATATCAGATCTTTAAATAAATGAATCGTTCCTTTTGGCCTCTAGGGAGATGTTAAAATAAAAAAAAATAAAAAATAAACAATAAATTATCTCTCCACATAATATTATTGATTCACATATAACTGGAGCTCCTTGTCACAAATCTTTTCATGCATTGGTGCTCCACTGGGGAACACAACTGAAACGTTCATGTACAGAGTGTGTGCATAATCCTTATACTCTCCCTTTGCTTTATACACATACACACACAGAAGCACACACACTAAAACATAGTCATACTGACATTACACAGACTCACTCACTCATTGGATGGTGCAATTAAACCGAATGTTTTATTGACTGAAGGTCATCTTAATTTCCATAACGTCAGAGTTCCTCAGCTTACAATATTGTTTGTCAATTGAAAATGATCTGGAATCAATAGGCTCTTAATTCAAATGCCTCTGTAACTTTGGCTTAATTCTGAATCTAAAATGAGTGAACGTTTTTTTATTGGTTAGTTGATGGGATGCAAACATGTTAACTAACACGCTAATATGTCCATATATGCCCTTACCCAGAATGTGTGCTGGTGACCACCTTAAGGCTGGCGGCATTGCGAATAAGTTTGTCCAAGGTATTGACGATCTGGGAGAACTTGGGTCTCAAGTTTCTTTCTTTCACCCAGCAGTCTAGCATGAGTTGATGCAAGGCAGTGGGGCAGTCCATAGGTGGGGGCAGTCGGTAGTCCTGCTCGACTGCATTGATCACCTGTTGATGAAATAAATAATGATTGTTTGGTGTTAGTTTACCCTCAAAATAAGTTGAACAGAGGTAAAGTAGAGAGGAAACTTACATCTTGGTTGCTCATGTCCCAGTATGGGCGCTCGCCATACGACATCACCTCCCACATCACAATGCCGTAGCTCCAGACGTCACTGGCTGAGGTGAACTTCCTATAAGCAATAGCCTCTGGTGCTGTCCAACGAATAGGGATCTTTCCTCCCTACAGATGCAAGAGCATACAATGTTTTTTAATCTCAAATGGGAGCTGGTCATTGTTATATAAATATTAAAGGATCAAGACTTGAATGCTGACCAATGAGCTAGTGTAGGTGGGGTCGGTGGGATCATCCTCCAAGAAACGAGAAAGGCCAAAATCGGACACCTTACACACCAGGTTGCTGTTGACCAGAATGTTACGGGCAGCCAAATCACGGTGCACGTAGTTCATGTCGGACAGATATTTCATGCCAGCTGCAATGCCTCTCAACATACCAACGAGCTGGATGACTGTGAACTGTCCATCATTTAGCTGTTGGAGAGAGTGGGAAAAAAATCACAGACCCATTCATAACAGAAATGTCCACTGTCTAAGTGTTTTTAACTTTCCAGGATGTGACTCATCAGCCAGATGATTCATCTCTCAAAGCCACAGCTAGCATCTACGCTATTTGTCATCGCTGTTTAGAAAGTTTAGGATGTTTTTCAAGGGGACAGGTGAGAACATCTCTTTAAACACCTCTAACAGAGACCCTCCACCCGGGGGGGGGGGGGCTAAAACTTATGCTAGACTGCAACATTGATGGTATTTGTTTCATGAAGTAGATCCCTTTAAGTCAGTGGTCTCAAACTCCAATGCCTGGAGGGCCACAGCTCTGCAGAGTTTAGCTCCAACCAGCTCCATCTCACACCTGCTTGGAAGTTTCTAGTGATCCTGAAGACCTTAATTATCTGGATCAAGTGTGTTTTATTAGGGTTGGAGCAAAACTGTGGAGAGCTGTGGCCCTCCAGGAATTGAGTTTGAGACCAGTGCTTTAAGTATTACTTGCATTTCCATACAAATCCCAATTTAGGCATCAAACAAAAAAAAACAAAAAAAAACATTAAGAATTAATTGTATAGTGGTCAGCATCTCTAACCCGGAGAAAGGAATCCAGCGCTCCATTCTCCATGAATTCAGTGACAATCATGACTGGCCGACTCTTCGTCACCACCCCTTCCAGGCGGATAATATTAGGATGATCGAACTGGCCCATGATGCTGGCCTCACTCAGGAAGTCTCTTCTTTGGCGCTCCGTGTAGCCTGCCTTCAGAGTCTTAATGGCCACAATGATCTCACGCCGTCCAGGGAGTTTCAGACGGCCACGGCACACCTCTCCAAACTCTCCTACATAGGTAGTAGACAGACGAGAGAGAGGAAGAAAGGGTGGAGTGGAGAGAGGAGAGGGAAGAGTGGAGGAGTGTGGGAGAGAAAGGGGAGAGGGACAGTTACTGGTTAGAATCAAGGAGCCAGGGGGAAGCAGGGGGAGACAGCAAGAGAAGCCAGGGCTAAAGGTGATGCTATTGGAGTGTATCCAGGGGGCGAGGAAAGGGGTAGGGTGAGATCAGCAATGCTTCAATGGGAAAAGGTCTTGGAGGGTTGTTGGGGGTTGGGGTACCAAAGAGGAAATGGGAAAAGTAAGGCAACAGAGGAAGGGGTAAAGGGTACAATCAGAGAATGCTAGGGTCTGGAGGGAGTGAGGGTAGAAATGTGGGACGTAGGTGGAGACAGAAGCTTGGGAGGATTGGACGGCTTGCGTCTGCAGTCTAGGCCAATGTGTAAGCAAGTTCAAGAGAAACAGAGGGGTCAGGGGAGGACATGGTAGGGGTTCATCACTTTAGACAAAGCTAGGAAACAACAGGTTCAGGTAGCAGCGTTAGATGTTAAAAGCCTTGTTTGTTGGAGTCTGAGATGTGGCTCTTCAACTCATTACAACATGGCTACAAGTCATACTGAACCAGAATCCTACTTCTTTTTCTTTTTGGCTTTTAGAAGTTAAACTGCTAATGTTAAGATGTAGGACATTTACAAAAACAAAGGGGAGTGGTCTCAAGGGCAGGTAGAAGCACCATGGATGGAGAAGTTAATAGGTCACAGGGTCAAGAGGACATTTAATTGTCCGATAGGTATCATCAGGCTCAGGACAGGCTTGGCAAGTTAGCAGGAATGGTAGCTCTATAGTTAGCTCTGAAGATAACCTCAGAAGCTCCATTTTGTAAGCAAAGCTGTTAGAGACGTTGGTAAGTTGCTAAGGTTTTGGATTTTGGAGCGGGATGAGTTGATTGAAATACCGCTTGGTGTGAAGTCCTCTAAAGGTATGGCCTGGGTGTGCCTAGCTGTCTTCCCCCTGTTGCTCAGGAGCTTGTGTTGTTGGTTACCTGCGCCAATGACTTCCTCGATTTTCACACAGGAAACGTCAATCTCTTTGGCAAACTCGCGGATGGCCTCATTCGGGTCCTCGTAGGTGAATGGGTCAATGTAGACCTTCATCCCCGGAGTGACTATAGGGGATTCAATAGTGCGAATAGCCATATGAATCACACTGTTATAATACACAATATTTATAGCACTGTTAGTCATCAGATGGAAAGTAAACTCTGTAGAGACTTACTGTATTGTTGCAGTTTTTCTGTGTACTCTGATTCTGAGCCATTGCGTTGCTTCCTGTGAACCAAAGACAATACAGTCAGTTACAAAAGGTTGATGATCTTAATGTAGGAAAATATGCATTTTGAAAAGGACCAGTTTTTTCCCTGCCAGCTCCTTTAGGGATATATATTGAGGTCGATTAAAGAACGAGAATAATATGAAAATTAGGAGAACAACAGAATCAGCCTCAAGAGACCCTTGTCACTTTATGATGGAAGTCAAATCTGCATAAAAGACAGGTAAGAACAACAGTAGCAGCATTGGTTGTCTTGCTTAGGTTAAATAATAAGGGATCTTTACTGCCACATTGTTTAATACTCTCCTGTCTCTTAATTCCTTCCTCCACACTTTTTCCACTATCAGTCCATTAATGCAATGCAATTTCAACAAACCCAACCCCCCTCTAGTACATATTAATGCAATCCCTTTGTTGTCTAACTAGTAACCGGGCCAATAATACCCGCTGGTGATTTGTATCTCATTTCCAATTCAAATTCAGTTCTGGAATATGCCAAGGCCTACATTTTTTCAGTCGCAGACAAGTTAAGATACTTAGACACACTGTGCTGATTAGAACAAAAAAGAGTGCAAATTTAGAATTTTTGCTTGATAAGGCTTTAAATACACAGCTGCCTTGCCCTCAACTGTGGAAATGGGAAGGTGGCCACAAGATGGAAAGTGCCAGTGCCAACGATCATCGGGACACTGTGGAATTCCAATGTAGGGCACATGCACATGTGAGACCACTGGCTACAATTTACCAAGTACAAGATCCAAAATAACTGACAACCCAGAATGAATCTGCTTCTCAAACTGCTTACATTAATTGTCAGATAGCTTCTAAGGAAGCATTATGGGCAACTAAATTGCGTATGCACTCAAAACATTCTGATGTTTCATAGGTATACTTTGACTTCTAATTCTTTCTTCTACTCTTTGTGAATGTCATTAAGGTAAGTGAAAAATCGAACAATTTACCTGAGGCAGACAATGGCAATAACCACAACAACAATGATGAAGACCAGCCCTGCTGTCAGAGAACCCACAATGAGAGGTAACTGCTCCTGTAGAGTCTTGTCTGCATCGGCTGTGTGAGAGGCACAAAGAGAGATATCATGGGATGTATTCAAGAGAATCGTATTTCTCAGATCTATTTATAGCTTTTCTTTTTCTATGAGAGGTATTTATACTCTTAGATTCGCACAATTGCATGATAGGCTTTGAAAGAAAATTGTTTTTATGTGATAACATAGGCTGTTTTACATACCCTGGTGGTTGGTGCTAAAGTCAGTAGGGCTGCTGTACCGGCCATACCCTGCCACCGTCCGGGCTCGAACCTGCACAACATACGGTGTGCCCGGCTTCAAACCTTCAATGCGTGCCGAGCTACGCTGGGCTGTCATGGTGTGGGCAATAGCTTCTCCCTGGTCCTGTGGGAACAGTGATAAAACAAGCCATATAAAACCAGCCAGCACCCAAAAGCAAGCGTCTAGCAGCTCTGGTTTAATCTGTCAGTACAACACATCAAACATGAAGCAGATATGCCTGGCCCTTTCTTCTCCTCTATGCAAATCCTCCTGCCTCCATCCCTGCCAAGCTCCTACTGCCTTGCGGTATCAGGGTTCAAAAGAAGGGGATGAATTAAAGAAGGAGTTAGGGACGAGTGTTAGGGTACGAGAGAGAGAGAGAGAAAGAGAGGGAGGAAGGGTTGATGCTGTTGTCAGGATGAACGATTATGTATAGAGCAGAGGATGACAGTTGTGGAATTGTGATTGAATGCCCTTCGCTTCATTGACTTACACTGGCTCTTACCTTCTCATGGTATTTAATCTCGTAATCCAAGATGATGCCATTTGGTTTTTCAGGGGGGAGCCAGGAAAGACTCATGGTGTTGGCTGAGGCCCCCATCAGGTGGACGGTAGGAACTGCAGAGGGAGCTGTGTAGGGAAAATGAGAGAAATCCTATCTTAATAAAAGCTGAATTTCTATTTTTCACATTTAGAGCATGCTCCCATTCAGGATTACCAAAAGGCTGCTTTGATGTGTAGGCATCAGACAGCTCTTAGTCTTTGGCCCTTTCGGGGCCCCAGCCTCTTAAACTGCACAGACAGAATGGATTCTAAAGTCTCTTGTAAAAAAGTACCATGACAGACAAACCGGAAGGCTTAGTATCTGGCACATTCAGTCCACACAACCTACAAACACATGCAAATATATGCATAGCTGCACACACCCTCTGTCCACTCCCTATGCTCTTTGTTATGACCCATGACGACTTCTTACTGTCTGTCTTCCATAATCTCATATTTTTTTGACAATTATGCACTTTCTTTGCCAAATTACTGTTTAAATTGTAAAGTATTTTTACATCATGTTAGTGTAAGTTGTGCACTCTTTAATTTAAATTTAATTTAAAAAAAATAATTTTGGGGTAATTATCATATCCTTTAACACTGACTTTATGCAAGTTATAATCTATTGTTTGTTTTTAGGATTAAACGTAACCTGGGCTTTTTTTAACCCATATATTCGTGTTAACACAACTTCTTCTTCCATAGCTCCTTCCTTATCTTAGCTTTACATAATCTGTATCATCCCCATTTGTCCTCAGACCTGATGTTGCCATCTCCGGTTTCTGATGTTATCAAGTTCTGTTCACACACTACAGTAGCTCTCAATATCCCCTACTTTCTTGCCTCTGTCTCTTTCTCCCTCACTCATTCTTTGTTAAAAGTGTTTTAATCCCCAGGTCCGGTTCTTTGATCCTTTCCCTAGTAGCTCTTTATTATTCTGCCTGTCTCTTTGTCCACCTCCCCCAAAAGCTCACTCTCCCCCAACCCAACACCATCAACCTCCTAACCCAGGCCTTGCTCAGAAAAGCCTCACCCTGACTGTATATAGTAGTATATACAGTATATATATATATGTATTAGAAGTAGAAGTAGAAGAAATATATAAATAGAAGTATACAGTTTAAAGCAGCATTTATGTATGTGTAGGGCGAACTACACACTATTAATACTCAGCGTTTGTGTAAATCTCCAACCCTCTGTATGAACAATCATAACAGTTATGATTACGTCATACACCACAAATAATCTTCTTTTCTATATACACAAACGATTTGCTGTTCAGTTTAGTTCTTTACCCCAGAGGTTCACTGCTCAGTGGCTCTGTCTTTGTAGTTCTTTTAATGTGCTGGAACCAACTGTCTCTTTGCGACCTTTTACTTCTGGTGCCTTGACTGTCAGGGTTACTTTTCTTTCTCCATCTCGTGCTCTTCATTAATGTTTCGCAGCAGCCCTTGCCCTTGGTCCGCAAATCGATTCCGGTCTCCTCTCACTCCCAGCTCTCCATTTGACCCTTGACCTGCCGCTGTCTGCTCAGCTCACTTTCACCGTGGCTATGTTACACGCTGGCTTAATTCACCTCAGCCTGAACCTGATATGTTTTTCATCAAGACCGCTCCTTTCTCTCAGCAAAATGTTCCACTCTGATAGACATACAGACTTATGCATTGCTTTGCTCTGCTTAAATTGAGGTCGAATAACCAAATTTGCTGTTAGGCCAAAGACCTCAATAAAAAAAACAGGATGATTCGTCCATTTGGCTTAATGTGATACCGAGAGATAAGACAAATTGCACAGTGAGAAAAACACAAATATCAGCACTCACCTTGACACTGTGTGTCCTTAACTGCAGGCTCAAACCCAGCCATGCAAGTGCAGGAACCTACAGGAACCATCCACTCTCCATCTCCATTGCAGTAGAGTTTAAGAGGGACAGACACCTCCAGAGCGTTCGGCACACAAGTGCCGGGGGCAATGACTAGTGACGTAGCCTCAGCTCCTGTGGCCGTTTCTGGGAAGACGGCAAAATTGGCAATGGTCGTGGAACACTTCTTGTAGAAAACTCGGACGGAGATTAAAGACATGCAGGCGCCCAGGTCCTGGAAAGCCAGATAGAAGCCAGCCTTGGAAACTGGACCAAAGCTGCGAATCTTGGTGTTGACCCGGCCAGACTCCAACATAGAGAAGCTCTCGTCCGGAGCAATGGTGTCCACCTTAACATAAGGGTTCTCCATCCAAAAAGGACTGGTAGATGTGGCGGAATCTGAGTCGGATTCGTAGTAGAATAGATTGAAGGTCTCTTTACATGATCCTGGAATGTTGGGAATACTGTTGCAATCTCGTACGGTGAACTTCATCTCCACATAAACACGGAGAACGTCCTTTCGAGGGATGAAGTCGCTGCGAAGCCAGTTGTTCTGGTTAAGCTCACGAACATTGCACACTTGGTACGTTCGGATAGGGTTCATGGCATCGTCGTAACCGCTAACTTCCTCCCACTGAGAAAAAAAGGAAAATAGAGACACTAAGTCACACAAGATCACCTTCAGAATGAGCTAGCACTTTATATATACTGCATTGGAGGATTCTCCTACAGAACAATAGCAATAACAAATGCTTTATGTAAAGTACAACACAATACGCTTTATTGTCAGTATTACAAATGAAACCATTCTCATTTTGATGTTATCCAGGGTTTTAGAACTCTGAGGTGTTACGCTACAGAGGTACGGCAGGCAATAAATTGCTGCTTCTCAGCTTCAGACCCACATACCGAAGCTAAGAAACAATATAATGGAGGGAGCAAGCCGAGAAAAGAGTGAATGGGGTGGATGAAAGAGTGGGGAAATTACATTTTATGCTTTTTGGTTTGTGCCTTTTCAATTACACATTGTGCGTGGTGTCATTAAGTGGGAAGCTGCACGCTGGTCTTTCATCTGTGTTCGCCAGTTCAATGAGGAAACCTGCCTGGCAAATTCATCAAAATTACCGTGGAGTGTCAGAACTCCATCGAATAAAACAACGAGTGGATGTTTACCGTATAACGAGTATAACGAGTGTGGAGTACTCTCTGCATCACTTCACAATCAATTACCTTGCAATTAAACCATCATGATTACATTGTATGCATGCAGATCAACAAGCTACATTTAATGCTCTACCAAAATACTTTCCTTCTTATCTAACAAAATTAAGAGCACACATCTTTTGAAAAGACAGGTGAGAGAGGTTGATTGCATTTGAGGTAAAACCATGTGACACGACAACTACTAAATAATGAGTAAGAACGCCTACTAGCAATCTTGGCAGCTAATGAAGGTTTTTACATCAACCTCGGCTTGTTTAAACAAACAGCATACTATATCAACAAGGAATGATTCATAGTCCTTTCAGAAAAGGAACAATTAGATTCACGCTCAACCTTGGGAAACCGTCCCACTTCTTTTGATTACAGCGAGTTCAAGAAAAAGCAATCCTACAGGAGAGAATGAGCTGTAGCCAAAAAGGCAAAAGAAAACTAGCATGGCATCGAGAGATTTGTTGAGAGCGTAGTGTTCGTGTAGAGGTGAAGTCTTTAATTAACACAGAGATATGGATGTTGCGTGGACAGGCCATTCATCCCTATGGGCTCCGGGGACCCAAGGCAGACAGGGCTTCCAGAAGTCTCTGCTTTATCACTTCCTTTCTGAGCCAAGGGTGCTGAGATCAATAATAAGCATCAGGTCAATGTGACAGGAGAAAGAATGAGGTGTAAATGGGCATTTAGTTCAGTGGAATAAATTGCTGAGAGAGTGAAGATGGGAATGAGGAAGTGGCCCACACATCGCACTCCTTTAAGGATAGTGGGGCAACAAACATACGTCTTTCCAAGAATAAGATGTCCAATCAATTTCTTTTCAACTAATTTTTTTAAGGGAAATAAGCCTATGAAGGGCTTTAAGCTATTTCTGCATATTAAACGTTGATATGAGGAAGGACACACTTCAGATTCAATGTGCAAAGTTATGCACATTAATTTTCCCCTGCTGCATTGATTTTTTTGGGGGAAAAAAGATGAATTAATTTATTTTAGACGCAGATGCTGCTGTGGAATGATGTGGTTTATTTATAAATAGATAAGTGCATTATAGCTTTGTTTATCTTGGAAGAATTAGCAGGTCAGGTTTAAGCGACAGCAGGTCGTTTTATTTATTTTTCCTTAATGGTGTTACAGTCTGTATTTATTTCTCGGGTTACAGGTGTCAGACTAATGACTAATAGAGGTTTTTCTTTTTTTGTGGCAGATTAAATTAAAGAGAAAAATAACTGCTGTGTCAGGCTGGGATTTATTCCAACTTTTTGCCCCTGTTTTTATTATCTGGGCACAGTTCCCATTTCGGTTTTCTGGGTGTGACATACCATTGAACTTAATGTCACACAAAATTAGAAACGAGTGTGCCGTAGGAAAGGGAGATATGGAGAGTGCCAATTAAGCCAGTGGCTGAAAAAAAACCTGTCAAAATTACATTTCACTCCAACAGAAATAAGAAATTATATTTTGCTAAAAATATTTTTAGACAATTAATTATGACAAGCAGGCAACACACTCCCCCACCTCACCCATATTCTCATAACTGCTATCAATAAATGAATAAATAAATATGATTTCAATTCAACAGAATTCATCGATCATGCTAGTTTGTTCATAAATAGCCTTTATTTTTTGCAGATTTAAACAAAAACAAAAATACATAGTGTTTTACAGTCAAATGTCTGAATGCATTACAAAAATGAAAACTTGGAGGGAAAATATGCTGAATTTTTATGCAGTGAAAAATGGGACATTTAAGGCAAGGAGACACTGCTTCCACATTTCCCCTGTCTGTCCTAAAATACAGTGGACTGGTGTGCGTGACAGAGGCTGGGATTTATTCCAACTTTTTGCCCCTGTTTTTATTATCTGGGCACAGTTCCCATTTCGGTTTTCTGGGTGTGACATACCATTGAACTTAATGTCACACAAAATTAGAAACGAGTGTGCCGTAGGAAAGGGAGATATGGAGAGTGCCAATTAAGCCAGTGGCTGAAAAAAAACCTGTCAAAATTACATTTCACTCCAACAGAAATAAGAAATTATATTTTGCTAAAAATATTTTTAGACAATTAATTATGACAAGCAGGCAACACACTCCCCCACCTCACCCATATTCTCATAACTGCTATCAATAAATGAATAAATAAATATGATTTCAATTCAACAGAATTCATCGATCATGCTAGTTTGTTCATAAATAGCCTTTATTTTTTGCAGATTTAAACAAAAACAAAAATACATAGTGTTTTACAGTCATGAGAATCTAATGAGAAAGTAAAATGTCTGAATGCATTACAAAAATGAAAACTTGGAGGGAAAATATGCTGAATTTTTATGCAGTGAAAAATGGGACATTTAAGGGAAGGAGACACTGCTTCCACATTTCCCCTGTCTGTCCTAAAATACAGTGGACTGGTGTGCGTGACAGAGAGCAGAAGGGAAAGCACTGGGCAATGTATGTTCTGAAAAGCGGCATCTGTTGGGGTGTAAAGGGGTTTTTCTTGGGCCCATTGTGCTGGTGAGTTTTAGTGCATTAATGAAGGGCGGGGGGGATATTTACAAGAATAATATATGGACGGGGAAGGTGAAATGCCAGTTGATTTGTTTCTCTGGGGCTGCTCTTGTGCCTCGGTGCATTGGTGCTAAGTTACTCGGAAGTAAAGGTTTTGGGGAGGGGTGACTGCAACAGCTGAGATGGTGTGGCTGGGGGCAAGAAGGGGGCAGTGGACACATGAAGAACAGGATATAAGAAAAAGAGGTGAAGGCCCAAAGAATTAGTCAAATACCAACAAAAGAAGTAAGAAAAGGCAGCAGTGTCTGGGTATTGTGAAAGATATACCGAGTGAAGGATACTTCTGCTGTGTCTGCCAAAAGCTTGTGGGCACAGATTTCACTTTTGGAGAATGAATGTAACACGGCTAGGGTGAAATCTGATCTGGCATTGCCTTTATCTGATGAAACGTAGAGCTTCCTGTGTTTAACAGACTATATTTGAACAAGACTGTAACTGGACCTCTTATAATACCCCTTGATTTAAAAATCGGTTACTACGACATTTATGAGAAAATTGCACGAAACCGGTCATGAACATGTGCAAGACATTTTTAACCCTCAAATGAAATGTTTCAATGGAAAGAATAAGAAATTTAATTTGTCTTAAAGAAAATGAGGCCTATTTTATAAGTTTGTATTTTTTAATTATTTTTAATGACTTAATTATAATTTTTAATATTTAAGCCCATTTGTAAGTGTCATCACTGTAATGGAAAAAAAAATCTAACCCATTTCTGTAATTCAAAAAAGACATATTTTTCTATTTATTTATTCATTTATTTTATTATTATTATTATTATTATTATGGTTTGGAGGTTTTTTTGGAGGAAATGTGCTTATTTGACATGGAAATAATGGGAAAATGCCCTCAACAAAAATGGAAGAAATTACAAAACAATATTTATATATATAGCAGCTGTAATACTCAAGAGGATATATAGTACAATAAAGTAAAAACTAAATTAAGCAAAACAAAAAGAGGACAAAAATTATGAAACAAAATAGTGAAAATAAAACAAAAATGAAATCACTGTAATGGAAAAAAAAATCTAACCCATTTCTGTAATTCAAAAAAGACATATTTTTCTATTTATTTATTCATTTATTTTATTATTATTATTATTATTATTATGGTTTGGAGGTTTTTTTGGAGGAAATGTGCTTATTTGACATGGAAATAATGGGAAAATGCCCTCAACAAAAATGGAAGAAATTACAAAACAATATTTATATATATAGCAGCTGTAATACTCAAGAGGATATATAGTACAATAAAGTAAAAACTAAATTAAGCAAAACAAAAAGAGGAAAAAAATTATGAAACAAAATAGTGAAAATAAAACAAAAATGAAAACAAAACAAAATGTTACAACAAAAAAGGAAAAACAGAACAAAATGATGAAACAAAATAAATTCAAAACAAAACAACAAATCAAAACAAAAAGGGGGAAAAAAGAAACCAAAATAAAATAAAATAAAATAAAATTCCAGAATAAATATAATAAAATAATAAAACAGTGGTCTTTATTTTATGTTGAGGTCAAATGTGACCTGGAGAGAATTTTTTGTAGAATCACCCTGTATACTTTATTTTGACTGAAGGAGCGGATTATATAAGCATGATGGCCTCAGGTTAACCATAGTCAAACACACAAAAGTAATAACTCACCCCAGTTTCAGGATGTGAGGTCCATGCGAGTTCAGTGGTGGCCCATTTGGTGTCCATCAGTGTTTCTGCAAAACAAAAAAATAAAGATCCGCTCAGTTTGAGGAACAAGAACTGCCTAAACAACAGGCAACAAAAAATAAGAGAATTAAATGGAAAACCATTTCACACTGTGCAGGACAAGCTAAGCAACATACAACTGTCACTGTCCATATTGTTAATAGGTATTAATGCATTGCGGTAAATTCATGGGTGCAGGAATGGAAAAACGCTATCATGCTTATCAACAGTAAAACGACAGCAGAAAGGCGAAACAGCTTTGTGGGTGATCCAGAAGGCATTGTCAAAGATTTATGACAGCCCTCCTCTAATTAGATTTAATTAGCCGTGTATTTTCTGGGTGGGAAAGAAAAGCTAAGTGTTTTTGAAAGACAACCCGCTCCCCTTCCCACACGTACACACACACAACACATCCACACACTCGCACCCTTAAGCTAGCAGCTGTAAAACTGAAGAGGATATATAACAGAGCAAAGGAGTTCTTGAATAGCACCATAAAACTCACAAAAGGAAGATCTTCACAATTTCCTCAATACCCAATATGCTCTGCCTGTCTGTTTTTTTTCTTCTGTTTTTATCCCACCAGCCATATGTGCAGCTATCTGTTTTTATTATAATGAAAGCACACTCACTCAGCCTAGACTACCAACATATTGAGTCAACCATTTTACCTTCCGCCACCTGCTTCGGCTGTTTATACATCGCGGCTGCAGTTACAATTGAACGTTGAGACTGTGTTTACTGAATTAGATGAATTGGTGGATTGAAAATAAATATCAGAGGATGTTTCCTCAGGAATGGAAAAACGCTATCATGCTTATCAACAGTAAAACGACAGCAGAAAGGCGAAACAGCTTTGTGGGTGATCCAGAAGGCATTGTCAAAGATTTATGACAGCCCTCCTCTAATTAGATTTAATTAGCCGTGTATTTTCTGGGTGGGAAAGAAAAGCTAAGTGTTTTTGAAAGACAACCCGCTCCCCTTCCCACACGTACACACACACACAACACATCCACACACTCGCACCCTTAAGCTAGCAGCTGTAAAACTCAAGAGGATATATAACAGAGCAAAGGAGTTCTTGAATAGCACCATAAAACTCACAAAAGGAAGATCTTCACAATTTCCTCAATACCCAATATGCTCTGCCTGTCTGTTTTTTTTCTTCTGTTTTTATCCCACCAGCCATATGTGCAGCTATCTGTTTTTATTATAATGAAAGCACACTCACTCAGCCTAGACTACCAACATATTGAGTCAACCATTTTACCTTCCGCCACCTGCTTCGGCTGTTTATACATCGCGGCTGCAGTTACAATTGAACGTTGAGACTGTGTTTACTGAATTAGATGAATTGGTGGATTGAAAATAAATATCAGAGGATGTTTCCTCTAAAGTGAGTGAAAAAAACACTGTTGCACCTGGTATTACACATTCATCCAGGGTGTAAAAAGTTGAAATGGTTCTGACCACATGTGTTATTATTATTATTATTATTTATTTTTATTATTATATTTCATTGTTTTTTTTTTGCTAATTAACTAATTTAATTAAAGTTTTAGTAATTGTATTGTGTCTCTTTGCCATTTTTATTAGTTTTTTGTTGTTTTTAAATATGTATATATTGTTTTTAATAAATGTTTCTTTCCGTTTAAGTTTGAGGTTTTTAGTACATCAAGTTAATTAAATAAAAATGAGAAATGTTGCCTTAGAAACGATCTGAAATAAAATAATTAATAAAATAAACAAATAAAAATAACAGATTTCATATTTTATTTCCATCGACATTTATTTTATTTCAAGTAAAAAAAATATTTTTAGTAATTTATTTTTATTTTAGTTTTAGTTAACTATATTAAACCTGCTGCACAATCATTTATTTATTTATTTGTTTGTTTAAATATAATCTAAAATAAAATTTTATTTATTGTAAAATGTGTACTTGAGTATTTTTTTTCAGTTATAAAATATATAACCATGACTCAGCAACAACAACAACAACAACAATAATAATAATAATAATAATGTCCATTATTTTCATTATAATTATGACTGTTGCTATAAAAAAATTAACAATAAATATTACTTTTATAATAAATAAAAATAGCATTTAAAAATTAACAATAATAATTTTTTCATAAAACCTTCCAAAATTACAACATTTTGTAAATGGCTTGTCTGAGTCTGATTTTCAAACATTAAACCACCAAGCCTTTATTTTGGCAGGAAAATAAAATGAACCCTTAAATTAAACTGCCGTCGTTGTGACCACAATATCGCGATTTTGATTCGATTAATTGCGCAGACCAATTTACATTATTAGCACATTGCCAATGAATCCTGATGCTTCCCGGATGACAGCGAAGGACCGCCTACTCACCTGTCAATCAAAATCACACATAGTACTGAGATCATATCACTCAAGACAGATGATAATACCAAGGTTACATGATTTGAATCTTCTCTACTCATCTATGTTTCTCGTGTGATGTACCACAGAAAATAAAATCTCCATCACAGGAAACATCAAGCTGAAGTTGAGAAGTTTCTAACATGTAGGTGTTTGTACGATAAGCAGAAACCGAGTCTGAGGCAGCTGTTTTTACTTCAGACAGAAGTGGCCATTGATTTCCTGTCGGGATGTCATGCGGTGCGTCCGGACCGTCATATTGTGTCACTGACTGATGAGTCCGCCGGTATTCAAACCCGTTTAAATGAAACCCACAAGTCAGCTGCCAGATGAGAAAAGGCTAGCGCAAATAAAACGCAAGACAAACCCAGAGAAAAGCAGTGTAGTGCAAGCGAGCCGTGAACGTTCGGGAGCGAGCTTCTGTTTTGTTTGCGTTTTGTAAGCTGTGCTGAAAAACAGCAAAGCCGAGCATTGTGTCAGCTTAGATGAGGAGGCAAGTCCCGGCTCAATGAGAGAGCGAACGCACCCCATCCCGCCACAGTCAGGGGGGCGAGAGGCCATGCCCTCAATGCGACGATTCATTCACACTCCAGCAGCAGCACCGAGCCTCCATTACGCCTCGCTACTGTTAAAATGGCTCCACACAGGGAAAGTTTTGTTTGGCCGGCCGGGAGACGACAGTTTATTTCTTGTTTCTCTCAGTTCTGAGGACCTAAGAATATGGGCCTTTCTGGCAGAACGGCGAACCTGATTGATGAGTGCGGAGACAAAAACTCGCCCTTGCAAAACCTGAATGTTTCAGTATGAAGCTTGGGCAAACTTTAGGCTATAAACTCAATGGCATAAAGCACACGCCATAAACTTTAGTCAGTGAGGCAGAACATTTATGAAACTTGAGAAAACCGGCCTGACACATAAATTAACTGCCGCAAAATGAAACGCAGGTTTACTTATTCGCCTCATGTTGACTTAACGGTCATAAAAAAATTATTGAACCGTTTTTTTTTTTATTTACTATCAAAAAACTGAAATATAAGAAAATAGTAACAATTTATACTATATAACCTACTACTACTACTAGGTTATATAGGTTCTAAAAAAAAACAGCTTTATAAGTACTATATTTTTAATAATATAAATATATCTATTTATTCAGTAATATTGTGTAAAATGATAAATATGACTCACTTTATAATAACTTATACATTTAAATCTCATGAAACTTTAATAAGAAAAAAACATGAATCAGTGTTTATTTTTCTATTTTCAGATTTCACTTTTATTTTAGTGAAAGTTTTAATTTTGATGTGTGTATACAGTATGTATGTCTATATATATATATATATATATATATATATATATATATATATATATTTTTTTTTATTTTTAGTAAAAAAAATTCATTTTTTATTGTTATATTCAGTCATTTTTATTTCAGTATTTTTTTTCACATATTATAACATAAATGCACATATTTGAATGGCTTATGAATAAGGTTATGAACATTCTCAGTCTCAAAAATCCCAGGAAATATAAGTAGTTGATGTTACTACAGCCATATCAAAACATGTGAAAATTATAAGTCATTGTTATTGGTCCAAACACTCAACTTTTTTGTTTGTTTGTTTTAAACAATAAAATACTATTATATAAGGACAAAGTAAGAATATATAAACTACTTAAAAAAAATAAGTATATGATACGATATTATTTAGTTCATTTAAAATTGTTTTTGAGCCTTTATGAAATCTTATTAAGAACTTAAAATTGTCAACATTTAAATATAAAACTTACTAAAGCACATGTCAAAACACCATCACTGAAAGAGCATGAATGTGTAGCCGGATGTTCAGAAGTAAATTTGGAAATCTGTGTAAATTATAAAATGATAAGTCAGTGTTTTTTGGGTTTAGTGATTAGTGACGTGACGTGACATGTGGCCAAGTATGGTGACCTTGGAATTAGTGCTCTGCATTTATCCCATCCAAAGTGCACACACACAGCAATGAACACACACACGGAGCAGTGGGCAGCCATTTATGCTGCGGGGAGCAGTTGGGGGTTCGGTGCCTTGCTCAAGGGCACCTCAGTCATGGTATTGAAGGTGGGAGAGAGCGCTGTACATTCACTCCCCCCACCTACAATCCCTGCAGGTACGAGACTCTAACCCGCAACCTTTGGGTTACGAGTCCGACTCTCTAACCATTAGGCCACGACTGCCCCTTGTATGTTTAGTTTAAACACTAAACATACAAGTTGCATGACTTGCACACATTCAAAGGCAAATTCTCATTCTCAGAGGTGCATGTTAAAACACACACACAGACACACACATATATTGATGTAAGAAAGGTCAGCTCTTCCATTCTAATCCTCAAATGACAAAGCAGTGCTAATAACAGAGGAAGACAGAGACACACTTGAATCAACACACACTCACACACATTCTGTGGGTTTATGAGCGCCTTAAAATATTTCTTTGTTCCAGTAAGCAATGGTTTTGAAGAGGGGTATGTGAACCAAACCACCTCTATTGATACAAAGAATGTTCGGGGGATTTAGAAACTGAGTCAGTGGCGTGTGGGCAGACAGGTGAGA